TCCTGACCACTGGTTCGGAAGCAGGAACCACTGCAGGGTTTTACCGTGAAGTCGAGTCCAGGGAACAATAGAGATACATGACATCATCTTCTCTAATAACTTAGGTAAGTTGGCCAGGGGTACCCACTTAAGCGTTCTGATCTCTGACTAAATGTTTAATGCTGTCTTGTCTGTCTGGTGAGAGGAGAACCTTCCTTGCCTTGTCTACAATGGCTCCCAGGTGAATCAATCGAGTCGATGGACTCAAATGGCTCTTTGCTCAGTTTATGGAAAACCCGTGTTCTTCTAGGGTTTGCAATGTGATCTGAATACTGCCTGTTGGGTGGATGCTGACAAGAGTAAGATGTCATCAAGACAGCACTGTAGCCAGACGGGCCTACTGCTGAGCTGGGCGGCCAAAGCTGTGAAAACTTTCGTAAGGGTTCTAGGGGCAGAAGCTAAACCAAATGGGAGTGCTACATACTCATATGATTATTATATCAAAATCTAAGAAATTTGCTGTGAGATGGCCTAATTGGGATATGTAAATACGCCTCATCAAATCTATTGACGTTAGGATGTCACCCTAACGCTGAGCAGAATAGATTGCAAAGTGCTCATTTTAAATTTACAATAGACCAGTAAACAGTTGTGGCGTTTTAAATGTAAAATTGCTCTCCATCCCCCCAAACACTTTGGAATGACAAACAGATGTGAGTAAAATCCTTGACCTCTCTGATTTGGATTCACCGGTTGAATGCCTCGGATTTCTAGTAAACAAAGTATAGTTGTTTCCATAAAAGTCCTTTTCTAGAGGAAGGGCAAGACATGAAGAGGTTCGAGGGAGTGGAGTGAAATTCTAGCGCTAGGCCGAATCTAATGGTCTCTCTGACCATCAGATGTTGAAGAGTCCCATTGGTCCATGAAGAGTTTAAGCTCTCCACAAATGGGAGCGTTGGTATTGTCCCTATTTGGAACGGCAGAATGACCCGTTTCCTGCCCCTCGGAAAGATCTCTTGGCTTGTCCTCCCCTCCTATTTCTGTCCCCAAAGTAAGTTCTATCCAACTGCTGCCCTGGTCTAAATCCTGAGGTTCTCTGAAATCTTGGGGAATATGGTCCCTGGTAGAAGGGACGAAAGCAACCCCTCCGAAAGGACTGGGTATTTCTGCTATCTGATTTCCAAAAAAGAGAGGGGAGGATCTTTTTCTTATTTCTAGTTTCAATCAGTAGCGGATCAAGGGCAGAGTCAAACAGTTTTTCTCCTGAAATGGGGGATGAGGCAAGGTTCCACTTGTGCTTGGTGTCAGCTTGCCAGTATCTAAGCCATAGTAATCACCTCACTGTAACCTGTGATGCTATGGCTCTGGATGAAAATTTAACCGCATTGAATGGTGCATCCGCGGAGAATTCTGCGGCTGTGATCAGTTTGGCTATGTCCTGATGCGCCCTTATATTAGAGGTCGGAATAGTTTCCCTTAGGTGAGAAAAGATCTCATAAAAAAGGATGCGGCCGTGGCTGCTCTTACTGCCCACACATCTGACTGATGTGCCTTACAAAGAGCTAACTCAGCCCTTTTGTCCTCCGTTTTAAGCGCCTCCTCAGCTTCAATAGGGATAGTGGAGGAAAACGCTAGGGCTACTATGGGGTCGTCAACCTCTGGTGTATTGAGGGAGTTTGTGAAATCCAATGCCAGATTATAAAACTTCCTATCATATCCTGTAGGGGCAGGGTACACTGCTGCTGAAACCCATTGTTTATGCACCGGTCCAAGAACATGTGTAGGACTAGAATTATGTCCGCCTCAGCAACTGGTTGGGAAAAAATTAAATCCTCTGACTTCTCCTGCAACGTTGTAGGTTGCAACGTCGTAGGTTGGACAGGGGGAGTCGACCTGTCCAGGCGTGCAGTGTTTTTAGCCTTGAACAAGAGTGACTTAAATAACTTGAGAGCAGAACAGACCTGTAAATGTCAGTTGATCGGGGATGAGGCCCTCATCATCTGACATGCCTTTTTCTAGGGGATCTGCCTCAGACAAGGTGGGGTCACTATCGTGTGCTGACCCTGACTCAGCTTGTTTCATTTGGTCATCTTGATCATCCTCATTTTGAAAGCCCTGAAGAAGTATGTCTGAGATACCAGAAATCTGCCCTTGGGGTTGTACCTGAGGGTAGTGCTGTTCCATCCTGCTTAGTGACTACAACAAGTGGGAATCATCATCAAAGGTCACAGGTTGCTGTCTGGCCAGGACAGTCTGCTGCACCCCCACTGTGATACCTCATTGCTATTTCCATCCAACCTTTCATCCTCACAGGTATCTCATCCAGGAGGACCTCTTCTTGTCGAAGTCCAGCCACTGTTGGGGTGAATGTGGCCTTGGGGGCCCTTCGTATAACTGGGATTACCCTTGAGGTACTTGATTGGACTTGCAAGACCGTACTGCGCCTGGATGGCATGGACAGATCCAGGGGAGGGTTGGAGGCCCATACTGACTTAGGTGGGGAGGAAGCCTGAGAAGCTCTCTCAGTCTCCCGCATGCACTTTTTCATATGTTTTTCCAGTGTATTCTGGCGCCTCTTGGCATCTTTCTCTGCAGCCCTGGAAGTTTCCCTGGAATTTTTTGACTTGCTCTTGGTTTTAGACATTGCCTTTGAGGCTGTTGCTCTAGAGCTACTACCACTTGCCATTGTGACGAAGGTTAGAGTACTAATGTAAATGGAGGCTATAGTGTGGGACGGTTGGCATGTCCAGGGGCCTGTTCCAGGGAGGGACAGGGAACTCTTAATAACAATTTGCTCCCCCATTTTGTATTTATTTATTTAAATAATAACTTCTGTTAATAAGGACCAGTAATACTGCTGATTAAGTATATTTTCTACTGAATTTGATCAAATTAGCCAAATTTTGAGAACACCTGATAGGCCAGATAAAAGGTTTTAAATTTACTGGCCTACAACAGCTGCCATGTACAGGGGGACTCAGGCCTTGGTGCTCACTGTTGTCTGCTGGGTAAATTGGGCTGTGAGGGTTAAAGCAACTACTGTTCTCCTAGAAGATCTCCAAAGTGGAGAAAAAGGGAACTTAACTCTCCTGGGTTTCTGCAATGAAAAACCTCACTTGAAAACAATTCCTCTCTTCAGCCTGTAATACGGTGCCGAGCACCACCACACGGTTCGTAATTGGAAAGATGGTGCTGGCAGTTAATTTTGGTGCACAAAAATCTGGTACCAGCAGCAATCTTACACCGTGTGGGGAAGTAGCCTGAAAATGGCTTCCCTCAGCAATCTAAACTGGCAAGCAGGGATTATGCAGGCGCTAATGCCTGCACCCCAATCGGCATCCTCTGAGAGGAGAATAAGCCTAGGAGCACTTATTACGCTGTTTAACTCAGGTTGCGTCGCTTGCAACGCCTCTGCGAGGCTGGGAGTCGCGATGGCAAGTGGTGATTGTTTTATTTTGGGCTGGAGGAGACGCGGCTGAAGCTGATGCCTCCGACAGCCCTGGGGTTGTCGAGAACGCTCCCTGGTGTTTTTAAGAGTCCTGACAGTCAGCTGAGATAAAAGGAACTGTTCTGGCTCTTTTGACTTCCGGATGACTCATAGAGTCTGGAGGAGATAAGATCAATTCAAACCTGAGGTTTTGAGGGTAGTTTTGCTCTTATTCTGGCCAAGGGAAGATAATAAAGCTGCCTATCACCACGAGGCTGAGCTAAAACTGGGGATGCTACGGAGGAGTCCCATGGAGGAGGAGAAGCATCCTCATAATTACAGATACAGATAATCAGAGTTGGAAGGCACCTTGTAGGTCATCTAGTCCAACCCTCCACCGAAGCGGGAGACCCTACACCATTTCTGACAAATGGCAGTCCAATCTCTTCTTGAAAGTCTCAAGTGATGGCGCTCCCATCCCAATTAAGCCCAGCCTATCACAGCAGGGACTGAAGCACCTCCCACTACTGGATGCTTCACAGCTCATTGGAGAAAGGCCAGTCAGATACTCTGCCCTAAACAGGTCCTTCCCTAATTATGAACAATTCCATCTATTATGAAGGACAGATT